CTTAAAAGTTTTTATATATGTTTTTTTTCATGAAATTTTATTTACTTAAATTCGAAAATCATTTTTTTAACGGTTTTTTACACATTTCTAATTTATTCGTATTTTGTTAATATTAGATCAAAAATATATTTATAATTAAATTTTTGAAGTTGAGGTGAAGAAATTCTCTTTTCTCTTTTGTTTTGGGATTAATTAATTCTTTTTCGAAAATTTGTTTCTACAATTTTGTTTTTGTGTCTTTTACATTTTTTACACTGAAACTTTTGTTTAAATTATCGTATATTTTCGAAACATATACATATGTATGTACATTTCTTCTAATATTTTTTTTGTATAATTGTTTAATACATTTTTCAATTAGTTCGCATTTTCTTAATTATTTCAGTCAAGAATTGTGATTTTATTTGTTATTCGTTGATGGTCTGTTTCCAAACATTATCTTTTGTATTTCAACTTCCATACCGAGCCATTGATTTGCTTTCGGAAGTTTGTTTGAAATCTTTTTCTTATTCAATGATTTATCATCTAGAAATATTTCAAATTCACTTTGCTATTTGTTTTATTTTCCTTAGAAATTATTCACAATTTTTTCACACATATTCACAGTAACAAGAATTACCACTGCAAAGCAGCTGGAATACTGCTCAATGAAGCCTCCTTTTGCATATCCCTCTTCTCCTCGGTTTCCATATTTGCTCAACGTTTACTTTAATTCACCAATAGTTTAACGCGTTTCAGCTTTTCTAAGCGTTTACTGCGAGCGCGTTACGATACTTAACCGACTGACGATAATTTGTGCATTCGCTTAGCGAATTACAGCGACTTTTATACCGTTAGATGACAAGAGCTAGGCAGTAGCAGCGTTTTAGGTGTGTTAATTTCACGTTGGTGCGTTGGCGCCTTCAACTATGCAATGGGGAATGCGTTTTCCGGCTGAGTTGTGATGTAAATGAGTTTTGGGACCCCTCACTATCTGTCACTTTCGTTGCCGAAACTCCCAATTGAGAATTTACGCTCACTGAAATTGATATAACTGGCGTATAGTCCATCACTTTCTTCTTACTTCGTGCTGTCTTCACCATATGTGACTATTATGTACTCTCGCTTTCGTTTGCGCGCTTTGAAAATTTTTAACGCGTATTTCTCCTTTTAAATATTATGACGGCAATTAATTAATGTTCATGTCAACATCCAACGCTAATCCCAATTGGGATCACTGCGCTGATGAGCTTTTAATTCGCTCACCTTTATTAGATAAATGCGAATTAATGAAATAAATGCATTCGCGGGACTACTGAACAAATAGTAGTAGTGTGGGCAAACCCGTTGCCCATTATGGCATTATAAGTCTACACAATTCTACTAGGTCGACACGTACTTTTAGAGTTACGGAAATTTGCATTCAGTGGTTTAATATATTGAGTGTATGACTTTATGCCATGCATAACATATAATCTTCGCTGATAGGAAAGATATATCATTAAATATTTTCAATTATTTAAATGGGAACTAGACCAGTTTTGAATATACGCCGAATTTGGCATTACCTAGCGGTTCCGACAAATTAGCAGCTTAATTAGGAGAAAAGAACTTTTCCAAAATTTCAGATCGATATCTCAAAAACTGAGGAACTAGTTCGTGTATATACTGACGGGTAGACAGACATGGCTAAAGATCATATATATATATATATCTAAACTTAAACTAAACCCTGTTCAGGGTATAAAAACCCGAAATTGTATTTGGAAAGAGAATTGCCACAGAGCACACTATTAGCTTTTTGTAGATATTCAATATCTTTTTAGCTACTGCTCAAGCGAAAAAAAAGGTTCCAAACAATGACACTTCAAGCGAATTGAACCTATCATGTGACTCAATGTTAATAAAATAAGAATACACAAACATCTGGATTTCTAAATTTGTGATATTTGAACTCTCCAAATGTAATGATTACACCTAAAACATTTAAAGCGATCTAAAATATTTCCCATCTGAGGCTTTAACACAGAAAGATAGCAATTGGAAGAAGACAATTTAACTGATGCGCCAACATTAGAGCACACTGCAACAAATGGTAACAATTTTACAGTTAACTCTACATGCGCCAATTCAATTTCCATAGAACAATTCAACCTACGTTGCCATCTTTGTACGTGTAAATATGCTGGTGTATTCATTAGGGTGAGCGATAACATTGTGGAAAAAAGTCTCAGCGAACCTTGGGAAGATGGATATAATTTTTATTTTTTGAAACCATAATTTGTGTGTAGACTGACATTTGCCACCACAAAGGTATCTAATGGTGCTCTGGATAATGTCCGATTTAGGTAAATATATGCATTTGTATAATTTCCATTAGAAAATAGTAAATACTTGAAAAAAAAATTATTCTTCAATGAACTTTTTCTGAAACTCAAGCTCAAAAACTGTCAATATAGCTGTCAGATATCATGAATTTCCCAAATTAAACATCAGTGTAACATATAAAAATGTTTCGTATTCCCCTTATAAACTACTCCAATATATAAACTATGTTTGATATATTGTTCCAAAAACTCTGCCAACCACCCTAATATAAACTTTATCCGCTCGACCGTCTTGTTGTTGTGAGAATTTTCAACACAATTGCTCGAATAACAGAAATTGCAGTGACTGCATTTTAAATCAACTGCTGCCGCAAGTGCTTAGCCTAAAGCCGGTGGAACGACAGGACTAAGCAGTGGGCAATGCGCAGACCGATGCGACAACATGGACACGCTTCCAAATGCCAGTATATTGCGCTACCTGTAGCACATTAGCATTTCGGTATGTACGATAGGCAACAACAATAACACTAACAATGCACAAAGTTGGCAATAAAAAGTGAATTGGTTGCAATGAATTGCCACTGAATTAACATTGCGTAACCACTGCACACTCGCACCGGGGCACTTTATATATATGAAAGGAGAGAAAGAAGAGAAGTGTATTTGTATTGGTGTTCACCTTTGGTTGCACACGTGCTGATGAAGAAACATTTTATGACACCATTTTAGGGAAGTTTGTTGCATTTGAAATGACTCAATTTGCACATGAAATACTTTTGCCGTAATGGTTTGAGGATTAACTCAATTCTTATTGTTTGTATTCTATTGTGAATGAGCTGGATTAATGTTGTCAACTGTAATTGGACATTAACATTCGGAGCATTGTAAGCTTTGTAAGCAAATTATGGAAATTTTCAAAATAAACTGTCTTGCAGGTTAATATTTGCTTAAATTAATTACGTATACGAGATGTGTTCGAAGGAAAAGGTGAATTTTGATTTTTTTTTTTTAAAGTACTTGCTTATTCATCAATATCTATTTTGTCCCCTTCAAAGTAATCCCCCACTTTTAAAGTGCATTTTTCGGTAAGGCCATCAGCTCTTTCTGTGATTCTGACTTGATCTCATCAATTGTGGCAAACGCTTTCCTTGCATTGACTTCTGCTATTTAGGGAATAGGAAAAGTCGCAGGGAGCCAAATCTGGTGAATATGTTGCTTGAGGCATGACTACGGTTTTTGTTTTTGGCCAAAAAATCACGAATAAGCATTGATGTGTGAGCTGGTGCATTCCACAATTTTGGAACAAACTTCACTGCTACACGATTCATTCTTAAAACATTCGAGAAAATTTAATGGCATGAGCCGATTGATATGCCAACACCCTCTGCAACATTTTTATAAAGTTTTCATAACATCTGGAGGTATTTTCTCTGCTTTGATTCTTGCAAGTTGCAAGAGTATAAAATGTTCGGTTACAGCGGAACTTAGCCCTTCCTTACCTGCTTCACTTAACTTGTTATCAAATTTTTTATTTTCTTTTGGTGTTTTAAAATTGTTTCCCTATTGTAGTACCTGGTTTTGATATTTTGCTTCATACTTACTTGTCTCTTGTACTGGCAAAAATTCCATATAAATTTCCGAATTAAAATAAGGCGATAAAGTTTGATTAGTTATATATCCTTTATTATTTCATTTATTTTTTTGTTACAATACTTTGGAGGACTTTTAAATATGTTTCTAAAAGTTTTTTTTTGAACTTTAACTGATTTACTAAAATCTAAGCAACTTTCTATAGGCTTACTGTTATGTCAAATATAAGCAACACAAATTTGACAGATATAATTTCAGTATCCGGATAAAAATATATATAAATACAAATGTATTTTAATAAGGAAAATATTCAAGGCGATTATATTTTGTGTAAAATGTTAATTTTCAAATGAAAGAAAAAAAAATGAATTATAATATTAAAAATTAAAATAATTTATAATAATATACAATAATATAAAAAAAAATAAAGTAAAATAAAACAAAATTAAATTAAATTAAATAAAAAAGTAAAGTTTTATAAAATAATATAATATAAAATAAAATAAAAAATTAAAATAAAATGAAATAAAAAAAGGAAAACAAATTATAATAACATAAAATAATGTACCAAAAATAAAACAAAAGAGAAACCTAATGAAATAAAATACGATAAAATAAAAATAAATAAAATTAGTTGAACAAAAACAATTAATGAAACAAGAAAACAAATGTAATGAAATAAAATAAAATATAATACAATAAAATAAAATCAATAAAAAAATGATGTAGAAAATATAAAAATTACATTATCTTTTCTTAATTATTCTGATTCATATATTTAATTTATATAATTTAATTTTACGAACATGCACTTTCAAAATAAATGAGAACATTTTTTTTTCTTACGAAAATTTTATAAAGTTGTTCGAAGACCGGTTTCCTAATAAAAAACGCACTCAAAATGTTAATCTCAAAAATAGCTAGTTTTAAAATAACTTCGAAAATTGATTTCACATAAACAACAATTGCAATTACATTTGTTTATTTGTCAAATACTTATTTTGAAACTTTTTTAGTGAAGTTTGTAAAGTTTTCAACAAATAATTTCAGAAATTTTATTTTTAAGTAATTTTTAAAGAATATATTTTGAAATAATATGTATATTTTTTAAATTTAATTAAGTGCATAGTCCTACATGTGAACTTTCACTTTTATTTCGTACATAATATAATCACACACATAGCTAGATATGCACAATATTAATTTTTGGTGATTTTAATTAATATTTTCTCTGTTTGTAATATTTACTATCTACTCATAAATATTTTGTTTTGTTCACCACTGTATGTGCTTTTATATAATTTATTTCTACTTTTGTTTGAATTTAATGGCATAATTGTGTGTAAGTACAATATATATAATATAATAACATGTACATTTATATATATATATATATACATATATACTGGCATATATGTGTTAATAGATGTATATACTTATACATAAGTTGTTAGATGCTTAATTTTTCATATTAACATAACGGTATTTGATACACTAAAATCGTATGAAATACTCAACTAATTACTAATCTATGTACAAAGCTCATTTTACCATATTATTTGATTTGATTACAATTTGCCTGGCATATTAAATTACTATATTGATTACATACAGTATATGTAAATTAAACTATTTTTGAGACACATTTTATTTTTTATTTTTTACGCAATTCTTTTTATTTTTAATGTGCCTGGTAAAAGTTGGGATTATACTTGATTGTATTTAAATAAATTTAAATTAATAAAAAGTATTGTAATGCAATATTGGATTATTTGTTTTTGTTTTTTTATACTTTCTTAATCATATTTTTTTTCATAAATCATTTTGTATATATTTTTTCATTTTGTTATAATTGCCTTAGTAGAATTGATTTTCTTAATTGTTTCTTTGCATATTCCAAGTTTGTTATATACTTTTATATATTCCTTAATCTTAAGTATTATGTACTTATATTTTTTTAAAATTAATTATCTATGTAAATATGTTATACAAATGTTGTAACTAATTTAAAATGATATGTATGTTTATATCCTGCATATTATATGCAACTATCGACTAGCTTAAGGTAAACATCTACTATATATGTATATCTTGATAAACCTGTATATACATACATATGTACATGCATGCGTGCATGAGTATGTATATAATTAAATAGCTCTGAAAACGAAATGAAAACAGACTTGAAGCCTTTACGAGTACTTTATAAACATATGTAACAATTATAACTGTACATACATACGCATGTACGGCAAACTTTAAGTGTTTTCTGGGTATATTGGGTATCTTTTCGGCGCAGAAAATATGATGTAGTCCATATATAATATAATGCAGGGTTGGAGAGGTCTAAAAGGGAGCTAGACCTAGAGACTTTGGCCAAGGAGGAGCGTTGGCATGCTTGTATTGGCTTAGTAGCTTATTATTAAGGTGCCAATAAAGATTTGTATTAAAATACGTGAAAATGTATTTTTTTTTGACAGTCCGGGTCATATTTGATCAGATGATAGATCTCGTCAAGAGGAAAAAATTTGATTAGCTACTGCCCTCCTCCAACAGTTTGAGCTAACATATCTACAACAGTGCCTACTATTTTAGATTTAGTAAGTAAGGAAATATTTTGTAAAATACAATTAACCCTTAATTAATTGTATTTTACAAAATATTTTTTCCTTATTGAAAGTTTGACTTTGAAGCCTTTTTAAGTCAGTTAGCTTAAAGTTTTGATCCTACGTACACAAAATGGCATGACAGCGATAAATAATTTATATTTTTTTAAAAAAAGCTCATATCATTTAAAAACTATACAGCTAAAGTAGACAATAAGTAATAGTAAATCAAAATTTTGTATTCCAACAACAACGCAACAGCAAGGCGGCTTAAAATATTTGACTATATTTAATTTTATAGTTTTAATTTGTGCAAACAATTTGTTGATGGTGTTTCCTTATGATTACAGTTTTTAAAAAATTAAGAAAATATTCGATTTATTAAAAAAAAAAACACAAAAACAAATTAAAAACTGCAAATTAAGTTTACTGTTAATTTTTCACTCACCACCAAATTTGTATAACACTATAAGTAGACATATAATATATACAACCTACCACAAACGATTCATACAGTAAATGTGTGTGTGTATGTCCGCCTACACCGGCTTTAATATCCTCCGCGTCACTCATACGCCATGTAGCAATGCTGCAGCCAGACTCGCATCCATTTTAATTTGACTTTTGTTTGTGTTGCTGTGTTTGTTTTTCTGTTTGTATTATATAAGTCACGCGATTACTGCCAATGTTGTTGTTATTTATTTGATTTCCGCTGCTGCTGCTGTGGCGGCATTGCCAACGCCATTTGTAAGACTTAAAGCCACAGTGCCGGTCATCAAGTTGCCAGTTGTGCTCGGGGTGGTCGCTGCTTCCTGCATGTGTGAAACAGTCAGAGAGAGCAAGGAGACAGTGAAAGAGTGAGAAAAAATAAATACAAATACAAATAATTAAATGAATAATTGTCAATATTTTGCTTTTAATTTCAATTGTTTGCGAAATTGATCACGCCCAACTTGTGGCTGAGCGCATGTGTCGCATAATTTATAACTGTTTGCATTTTTATTTACGCTAACTGCTGGCAATTGCGCAAGTGAGTGAGTGTTTGCACATTTGCGTTTTTCACCAGCAATTAGCGTTTTTCGCTGTTAACTTAATTTATGACAAAGGCAATTTTTTTTTTGTGTTGGTGACCACCATTGTATTGGTTATAATTTTAATTCTTCATTTTTTAAGGCTCACATGTTATGTTTGTGATATCTATTAATATTTTTTAATACTGGTATGTAGACCCTGTAGGAAAAATTTCGCACTAGAAATTACAAAATTTTCCTTTTATTTATTTTAATATTTTTATGCATTCCCTATAGAAAACAAGAAAAAACGTTAACTTCGGCTGCACCGAAACTATAATACCCTTCACAAGTGCACTTCTTATAGCATAAAAAGGTAAAAAAAGACCTTTATCAAGTTTTTATCGATCACGTTATATTGCAGTTATATGCTTTAGTAGTCTGATCTAAACAATATGTTCGGAGATTGTAGCAATGTTTTAGAGAGTAGTCTGTACCGAATTTTGTGAAGCCATCTTGTCAAATAAAAACTACTCCATGGAAGCACTCGATTTTGATAGATCAGTTTGTATGGCAGCTCGACGCAGTTTGTCACGCTGATCATTTATCCGACGTTTCCTTCTGTGCATTACAAATTTCTTGGCAAACATAACATACCATGTTAAATAAAATAATAATATGGTAAAAGTAAACCACTTACGTTGAAAGGTTCGTTAAAACTTCCTACAGAGCACGCATACAAGTTATTCGCATATGCATTTAAATGCTCCCACTTTTGTATTTTCTACATATTTGTGAGGGTATATTTCATTGTTTGCAAATAATTTAATGTATTTCATTTTATTTTTGCTTAAATTTTTATTTACTTTGCACTTACAATGCTCAGTGTGCGCATAATGCAAGCGGGTTGTGGCTTTTGCATTTGCTGCTCTTGTTCTTCATGCTCCAAAGCTGGCGAACTGCCACGTGACGACACCGAGCCATTCAACATTTTTACATCATCTGCGTGGTGGTTGTGTGCCAAGATTGTGGTGTGACCATCCAACGGTGAGTGCTGAGTTTCCTGCAGAGAGTGAGCAGAGAGAGAGAGAGAGAGAAAAAGAGTGGAGAATTTGGTAAGTGATTGAAAATATTTTAATTACAAAAAAAATTATTTATATCCGGATTTCATGTGTAGTTTAACACTATAGGGGACCATTTTCATAAAAAAGGGAATTTTTGAGAAATTCTTGGGATGAAGTTACTTAATTTTAGTTCAAAATCTCGAAACTGCCATATAGTCAGACATCTAATTTTGGTACACAGAGTATTTAGTTGTGTACAGCCTGCTAAGCTTCAGCAAAATTCTATTATAATCATATATAAGTTCAGTCAATTAGATATTCGGTATGCTAGATATCAAAGAGAACCTCGAGCAAAATTTGTTAGCACCAGAAATGTGTGACAACTTTAGACCGACTCACTTAAGCCTACGTAATCTAAAGCTTTACTTACAAAAGCTACACCCTTATTAAAAATGGTTATTCGTCCAATTTCTTCATATATCTCAATATTGTCAGTCAAACGTGAAATTTCTCAAGTTCGATTTAAATTCTGAAGAGTCTTCTCTTACCAGAAATATACACACAAATTGAACGCAAAGGCTTCCTTTTAGTTACAACACAGAGTTGGACTTCTACTATCGGTTTTGTCCTTCACTTTTGCTACGGCAGATCTTTCTGATTTTTATGTATTCGAATAACCTCGGATGCTGATACAATGACTAATCGAAGACTACGCCTGTCTGATTTAAAGTATGAGGATGTCGGCAAGGTGGACGATTATATGATTGTAAGTAAACGATCAGACAGACTGAATCAGGAAATGCATATCTCCATATTTCATGGATTCGAACCTATTTCTAAATCCAAAAACACTGAAACACTAAAAATTACATGCTTTCAATATACAAGTATATTTCGTGAAATTAAGAATGTTACTCCACATTTAATGGGTCAATTTCGAGCACTGCTTGACAAAAGAAGGGAATTCAGTGAATACGGAGAGCAAATCATTCACAGCGTAGACATTGCAAGCGCCATAAACACCCGGTGTGGAGGACATTTTCTTCGACAAGTTAATGGTTGTGCCAATCTGCTTCTTCAGTGTTACCATCTTGCCCACCAACTTGCTGAAACAAGATTTCGATGTCTTCTTATTACCATCAGCTTCAGCGTTATAGTCAGCGTTATGGCAAACATTCTCATTCAGGTTAATAATATCATTGCTGGTGTTGACCACAGTTTGTACTTGATTAAGTACGGCGTTCAAGTCCTTAAAAGCGGCGCTATTGCAATCCTTAAAGGCATCAAGGAAATCAATGCCAGCCGCGCGAATGCTTATCACCCTCTCGATGGTGCAGTGAACACCCTTTAAGGTGCGCAAACTAACCTTGATGGTCGGCTTCAAGCGTCCGAGAACGCCGAAAAGGAAAGCATCACTGATCGTATCGGTTAACTCTGAAGAAGATAATTCGATAAGCTCGTCATCCTCCACGAAGTAGTCCACACTGGCCTGTGGTAGGTCAACTATTAGTTTCTCGGAAGACAAAAGTTAATAGTAACTGAAAGTAACTTACCGCGTTGACTGCAAGGCACAGTCCTAGTACAAGAGCGAAGACAGCAAATTTCATTTTGATATGTTAACTTGGCTAACAAAATTGTTAATGAAAATCAAACATAGCGGCGAGCTTTTATAGCGCTTGGAAACGTTGCGCTGGTCAAGTAGGGGAATTTTAGGGCGCAAGCATAGTCAGACAAAGAGCACGTGGACTTGAATGTGGTATTAATTGTCTGCATGGCTGTAGACTGATAACAGTCTGTAGTTCTTAACACCACTTATGATCGATAGTCGAGCGTTAAGCTCTCAAAGAAGTGAAGAATTGGTTGTGCACCGTCGTGTATTATACGCCTTAAGGAGATTCTCTTAAAAGCTCACGTGTAGTGTTATCGCAAAGTTTAAATTGCTGCAAATTTGCTGGACTTTGCAAATTAATCGTAAATGTAGCTTCGTTGGTGGTCTTTGTGATATTAGCGAGTCTCGCATAGTTTATTATTATTGAAAGGTATTCTTTTTTCATAACAAAATATTATATATCAATATTATCCCTAATTTGACTTTTATGCTATTTTTAGAAATTTGTTAACTTAATATTCTTATTTTTTTGTTGTGCTGGCATTTATGCGAAACATTTGCAGCACGAAAGTACAGAACTTTTATAATTTTTCTATTTCCAGACAGAATATAGTTTTTTGCACTTAAAATTCAATTTGGTATTATGTTTTGTTTTGATTTTCTTATTCGTCAAGCTTTAGATAGAACACAACTGAAAATAGAAATAACAAATTTTCACAAAATGTAGATTTCATACCAGCTTTTATACAAATATATCTCTAGAAGAATTCCTCTGGGCTATTTTTTTTTTTGTGCTTAGGACGAGCGTTTTCTTAAATGGCGAACTTCAAATCCCACAAATTTTCACAGCTTATACCTTCACTTAATCTGCTACCATAGCCTTGTATTACAAATACATGCTGGCAATCCTCTCGGGACCCGGAAAGGGTATTTCACGATTTTTAAAATCATACAAACGTTTTATTTTTTTTACCAAACTAAGGACTCTTCTATCAAACCTTTGCCTACGCATTGACTTTATAACTTCAAAATCATCGAAAGCAAACGATGAGAACCCTCTCCTCTTCGATTGTGGACCCCCAACGAAGTAAATACCAGTAAGCATTACACAAGCCTGTGCTAATATGGCTTAATAATGTTGACAATGGGAGCACAAACGCACAAACTCCAACCAACAAACATTAAACAATGCAAATACAAACAAAAACAAATGACAGTTGCTAGTACAGCTTTACTAGACGTAAGTGAACGGAGTTTGTGTGTGTGTATATGTGTGTGGATGCACTTGTAAAGCAAATACAAACAACAATGACAGAGACATATTCGTTGCACTTGCTAATGTGCGGCCAAAACAACAATGTCTACACTACCTCCATCCACTCTCCAACCCAAATCGAAAATTGCAACTGCACCGGCAACACAACATACAAACACACACATAAAAGTGGAAGCATTCTCTTGTATTGAAAGGAAGTAGCAAACGCAAATACTCGTGCATAGGCACACGCATGTTGCGACCCACACAAACATCGCTGCCACTTACCTCCTTGTTGGCAATCGAGCCATTTGTCGGACTGTTGCAACTGCCGAATTTGCCTTCCATGCAGTGATCGGTGTCGCCGCCAAGCCCATTGCTGGCCATGAAACCATTGTTACTGCCAGCCGACATATTGCCCGTTATCATATCGATATTGTTGTTTTCATTGTTGCTATTGTTGTTGCTTTCTAAATTGCCAGCCACCGATGTTGGCGTTGACAATGTTTCGGTTGTTGGCGACATTTGTATTTCATTGCCAATGCTGCTAATGTCACAATTGCTGCCGCCGCTGCTGCCACTGTTAGTGTTGTTGTTGTTGCTGCCGCTGATGTTGTTATTGTTGTTGGCGAAGTTTTTGTTATTATTATTGTTGTTGTTCAACTCGAGCTTAAACTGCGACGACGGCGACGCCAACTGCGCGGCATTAGCCAAATCAGCGGTGATGTTGCTGTTGTTGGCATTTAGGTTGTTGTTGTTGTTGTTGCTGCTGAATGTGCTGCTAATATTGTTGGCAGTGGTGGACAACGGTGTGATTGTGTTAACATTAATATTCTTGCTGTTGCTGTTATTGGTGTTGTTGTTGTTGGCATTGGCAGCGGCAATAGCCTCCACACAATCGGCGGTGGCATAATTGTTATTAGCCTCATTGCCCAATTCGTAAATGTTGACCATGTGCGCAGCCTGTGCGTGCACCATCAGATCCCACGGATTGGCGAAGGCATCCTTACAAACGGCACATAACAGTTTGGCGCTCATCGGCGGTGTTTCTATGGAACATAACAGAGAGGGAGAGCAATTAGTTTGTTTTTAATGGTAGTAAAAGAAAAAAAAAACCAAAAAAAGGTAATTTACCTTTTGGTACAAAAAAACTTTCAACCCAAAAAAAAAGTTTTAATGACAAACAATTGCTTTACAATTATTCATGAAACCCTATCAATTTAAGTATTGAACTATTTTAATCTGCAATAATTTTAACATAACATTTATGGCTGAAAAAAATAAGAGGCTTGGTTCACTTTCACTCACTATCCTCCATTTAGGCATCTCCTTTAGACAATAATAGAGCAACAGCTGTTGCCAACTTTCACACAAATTCGAAAATAATCCTTTCTGCCAGCAGCCGGCTCACACAAAGCGTCATGAATTCTCACACTTTTGTCTACTAGAAGCTATTATACAACATTTTCATGGATTTAAAATGTTGTCCGATGGTACGCCTAAAACTCGGCTACAAATTTAGTAAACGACTTCATGTAAGTGAGCTTATGACCCTGTAGGAAACTTTTTGCAATTGGTTGAATTCCTCAAAGTTGAAGTTACATAATTGATAAAAAATTAAGATAATTTTTTTTTCAAATTTTGACTATTTACGAAGATCGAGTCTACATATGTATTGAGCGTCACAAAATCTTTATATATTCAAAAAATACAATATACTTCAAATAATTAAGGCATGTTTTTCTCAAGTAGACTATTAATATTAAAAACCAAAACTGGGAGATATTGTTTTAAAGATGTCTATCAACCAGTTTTTTGAAGTGAAAAGTGCAGAAAATAATCGATCATCCTAAAAAAGTCGTGATCGAACATATTTGCAAGTGGGAAAAATGAATTTGTTAAATAACAAATAATAAAGGATATATTTAAAGCCATTTTTTTAATGACAAAAGAAAAACTACACAGATTAGTTTTATTTTTTTTGAGAACACCCTAATGTTCTTATAAAACACTTGCTGTTCTCAGTTTAGGCTAACCTTGTTAATTTCGCTTTAAAGACAAAAAGGTTCATTTAAGTACCACCCTAGTTTATTTGCAGAGCAAATATGTGCAACGAAATATGGCTGCCAGCCAAACATGTGCAAACAAGTGTCGACTGACACGTTTGCAAAAGTGTTAAACAATAATAAATTAATTACAAACAACAGTAGCAGCTAACGGTGTGAAGAATAGCAACCATAACAACAAAAACAATACAAATTGCTTAGCAACTTCAACAGAAATTGCAGTAAGATGCAAAGCAAGTGTTGCAATAACAATTTGCATGAAGTGGCATGCAATGGAAACATACTGTAGCACATGCATACATACATGCATATGTATGTGCATGTGCCTTTAGATATTTTAAGAGCTTGCAGTCTATGTTGTTGTTGTTGGTGTGGGTGCATAACAATGTGGCAATAAAACATCAGCACTTGGCTGCGGCGTCTGCAGTACTTACTTGCAGCGAAGGCAACATCCTGGCACTTGCAAGTGAAACGCAACTTGCAATAACTCCGCTTGTGGTCTAATAATTCAGCCAGTTCGTTGAAACATCCCCGACAATTGCCGCAAATTAATGTGTCCGGATTGCCTGGAAAAAAATTATTATTTTTAAATATATTTCGAAAGTATATATATATGTATATGTAGATATGTACTAATATTGCACCATATTCTGTATAAATGTTTTTGGGTGTACAGTAGTATGAGAAATCGTATTCGTTGCTGTTACTTATGTCATATATGTACATGTATAGACTAAAATTGAATATCGTAATAACTAAAGTCCCCCAAAACTAACTCTCTTTAACATGCCTATCTTCTCATTCTCTTCAAAATTTATCAAGGAGAGATAAAACTTCAAGCTATTTATGCTGGCTTTGTCCTCCAGAGAGTTTAGTCAAGTTTCAATCGATTTAGGCGGATTCAATCATCTCACTTCGTTGTACAATGATATCGATTTATGATCACACAACTCGAGAACGCGCTCTATCGAAGCCTATTCTGGTAGTAAATACGTCAAAGACACTATTTCTATTATGAAGGTTAGCAAATTTAGGTCACTGTAGCGAGATATACCATAAGCATATATATATACAAGTAAGCTTGTTTAGCCCGTTAATAAAGAAAACCATGCTTTAGGAACCGGGCAATTAGAATCCACGACGATAATCGTATGCTGATAACATTTATTAAAAAATATTTGCATATAATTTACTATTTTACAAGAACATCTGACAGCTTTATATTTTATATTAATTGAGAAAATTATTTACGAAATATATATATATGAATTACTCAAAGAAATCGCCAATCATCACTTTCGAAATTTCCATTCCAGCTTTGTGGTAAATCTGGCACATCATCACTTCGCCAATTCATATGATTATTCGACTGCTCGTAGATGCTCGTGCGACGTGGACGACACCTAAGTGCAAGTCGTCGCCGCTTTCTATGCTCCGTGATGTCGTTCCGTGCTGCTTTTCTTGCATTGATTTTGCATATATTATTGTTGCGTTTGTTTCTATGTCGACTATGTAGCTTGGACCCGAAGTCGGCTCTGTGACGTCGTCGACGTATTTCGGTATCGATTTTATGATGTTTTATATTTCTGAGCTGCTCACTTTTTTGTCGCTTAGCCTTAGTGGTTCCACTATTCAAACGCTTTATAGAATCTTTGTGGTGTAGAAGATCTTTCAATTTTGCCTTCTGATGACATCGATCACAGTTCGGTTTTGACTTGAACCATTTGTTAAAGAGTTTTCGCAGTGGAAAAAAGCTGTTTGCTTTACTTTCTGTTGATTCTTTAGCAGGTGATGCAGTCGGTAATGTTTTTACTGCATTCGAAGCCATTTTTGTGCTCCCACAATTCATGTTTCTTCCCAACAAGCGACCCATAAAGCTCAATTTCTGTTGTATGGGGTCAGCTTGTTCTTGTTTGCGAAAGTTTTCTAATGAAATTTGAGCTTGACTCTTCTTTGTGAATTGTTCCATACCAAAATCATTACAGCCCTTGGCAGTGTCAAAATTATTTTTGTAGCTAAAATTGTTGTCGAAGCTAAGAACATCAGCATCATCTGGTGACTTACAAACATCGTTCGAACCGGTATCTATTTGTGGTATAGGTACTATATATGGCGAAACATTCTTTTCATCATCACACTTCTTGCATTGATCCATTGGCATTAACGACAGTGGCTTATTCGTTGATTGATGTCGAAAATGTTGTATATTGTGATTTTTACCCGCACATTTCTGCGCCATAGGCTGTGGTGGTGGCGATTTCGTTGGACAAAACGGCAGTTTCACCTTCATTGCATCCTCAAATATGCCCGACTGATCTTCATCTTTTACTTCCTCATAATCGAGCAGTTGTAGATTTTTACTACGCTTTTCAAACTTTGGGTCATCCTGTTCGTCGGGGTAGTAGTTATCCTCATGCTTCTTGAATCTGCCCTCTGAGCTTTCAGAGTCTTTGAGACCACGCAAATAATATCGTTGATAATGTGGTTGTCCGGCATAATGTACTAAGGTCAACATTTTAGACTTGTCAACGTCTTTGTTCTCACGTTCTCGCAACTCCCGCACGACGCGACTGAGCTTGGCACGCATTGAAGGTGCGCGGAATTCACGTTGGGCTTTCCAACGATGCTTTAAGTGCCTTCGCAGTTTCTGTGTATTTATTAGTGTTGGCGGTTTCGCGGGTGTGGCGCTGGGAGCTTCGGTTACAGGGTAACACATGGTCGCATAACCGGCAAGGGATTGTGTTGTCACTTCTTGGGTATTATTCGGTAATTTCATTGTTGTCGCAACTTCTTGAGTAGAAATGGTTTGCGTTTGGGTTGTTGCTTTCTGTGTATCGCCAACCGGAGGTTGTGTGACTGAAGCCGGGGTTGTCTGTAGTGCCTGAGTTGTATTTTCTATTGAAGCGCTCTCTGGTGATTGCGTAACTGTGGACGAGGCACTTTGATAAGCGGGCGTCGTAGCTGTCTGCGTATCGTTTGAAGGCGGTACAGGAACATTTTGGGACGAGATTGGTGTTGTCGTCTCCAGCGTGCCATTCACTGGCGGTTCAGTTACTGGAAAGCACATCGTTGGATAAGCTTCAATCGAAGTAGGCGTTGTGAACGTTGTATCGTTCGTAGCATTAATATCTGCAGGTCTTCCGCTTAGTAAATCTGGTGTTGGTGTTGTTACATTAATATAAAGTATTTGTATAGCCCCACCTTCATTGAAGGGGTTTGCTGGTTTCGAAGTATGTGTTTCATGCTCTGACGACTTCGCTGCTGGATTTGTGATTTCTTCTTCATCAGGTCCACATGTGGTGTGTGGCTCTGCTGGATCTGTGATCTCTTCCTCATCAGGTCCACATGTGGTGTGTGGCCCAGCCGGTTCAATGATTTCTTCTTCATCAGGTCCACATGTGGTGTGTAGTCCAGCTGTATCTGTAATTTCTTCTTCGTCAGGTCCACAAGTAGTATATCTTTCGGGTCCTTGTTGTCTCCATGTGCCATCTTTTAACGGTTCAAGTATAAGCAGTTGAAAATGCTGTTTATAAGTGTTGGTCTCAACTGGCGGCTCATGCGTTGATATTCTTTCATTATGCCCCTGTTTTTCTTGTTCTACTTCTGATTCATTCTGTTGTTTTCGGGTTACAGCTGTTGTAGATTCTTCCTTGTCTGGTGGTTGATTGGGTACTTCTTCCTCTTCGGGTCCACATGTTTCGTTTTCTTCGCTTTCTTCACTTTCTTCTTCACACTCTGATTCATCTTCTGGACCTTCGCTGCATTCCTCTGCTGTTTCCTCATCTTCCGTAGATTTTTCCCCGGATTTTTCTTCCTCTGCATTTTCTGTCGTGGTTTCGTTTCTATGTAAAATGTGTGACTTAAATAGTTGCAACGCAATTTTTCTAACTAACTCGTCCTCTTCGTTTCTTGCTGCAGATGGTCCTTTTGATTTGGTGTGCGGTCTTTCGATGTTAGTTTCATGTTCGCCGTGCTTTCTTTCTTCAGAGCCTTTATCTTCATGACCGGCTTTAGTGGTTTCCATACCTCCGCGATTGCAAGTGCAAGATATTATTTTAGTGCTGGATTCTTCTTTTCTTGTAACCGTTTCTTCATCACTTTTTTCTATTGTTTTATTATGACTACGTTGTGTAGACTCTTCTTCTGTTTCTTTATCGGCTTTCTTTTTCGATGTTTCCTCTTCATGATCTTCAGACTTGTGTTCATCGTTGGTTGTGTTGTGACCCTTTTTACCATCTTCGACTTCTGATTCACTTCTTTTTGTCGTTGTTGCCTCCTCATAGTCTTCAGTTGTGTGTCGGTTTTTCGTTTTATTGTCGTGTCGTTCCGTTACGGTTTCTTCGTTTTCGGAATCATGTTTTCTTGTCGTATGCTGTTCCTCTTCGCGATCTTCATCGTGTTTATCTTTATGGTGATGTCGATGTGTAGCCTCTCCTTCGCTGTCTAAACCGTGTTTTCTCGTAGTATTTTCCTCCTCTCGGTTTTTCTCTCTGTGCCCATGCCCACTTTTCATTTCATTAGTACAACGTTCGGTCGTCGCCTCATCCGTATCCAACGCATGTTTCCGTGTTGGCGCTTCTTCTTCTTCGCGATCGCTACCTTTACTACCATATTTCATGTTGCGATATTGCGAATGGGTGGTGGCAGCCCACGTTACAGTCTGCCTTTCGGTTGTTGTGCTGCAGGTGGTGTTTTCTTTCGGTGGCATTGTAAAGTCTTCAGCATTTAGAGTACGCGGCGTAGCTATCGGATGACTGCCAAGATCAATGAAATGCTCTTCCTCTGCTCCGTCACCTTTGCCATGATTTTCTTGTTCGTCATCCTCTTTCTTCAATAGCATCTTCATGGCATGGGACAGCATTCGACCTTTCAATTTGAGCAAACCCTCAATGTACTCCTGATATTTGGCCGCACTGTGTGCAGCGTTGTATTCCATATTACGCGCATTTAACAATAATATTCTTACAGTTAAAATCGTAAAAATTAAATAAACTGTTTTTGAAAAATACATTTCGAATATTTACGTATAAAAAATCAAATTTCTTTCAAGTTTTTCACACTTTCAAAGTATCACGTTAAAAAACGTGTTGAAAAGGTTTAAAATAAAAAGTCGATAGGTTTATATATATCGATTTTAAAAATACCATTTTCATTAATTTTTTAATTTAAAGCAAAATAAGAGTTTAATATTCGCTTTAGATTTTCAGGTAGACGTGATTTATACCATTGTGTAGACTGTCGTTATTCTTGAGTTTTTTTATAGAAAAGTTTTCTTCAGATATGGATCTCCACGCTTTGTTCACGTCTGTTTTTTACATAGTCATTCAGTAATGATAGTAACATAACTTACATAACCTCATTGATCCTCCTCATAAGACTTCAGAGTCTAAGTGAGTGTTTTATAAAACAATGTCGTTGCAGAAATACATGTTCCTTTTCTGTTGACCGAAAATATCTCCATATTTTCAAAACATGTGTCATATATCTACAAAACTATCGTAAAGATCTCAACTTTAAGAAAGGTTATCGGAAAATATTTGTAAACGAATGAGCGCAATCAAGCGAAATGAAGAAAAAACAAGTAAAATGGTTAACTACGGTTGCACGGGACCTAGAATACCCTTAAAAAAAAGGTTTCATAGAAGAACTTTTGCTTTTGATTTGAGGTGAAAGAAAACAAAACAAGATTGTCATTTTCAACGAAACTAAATTATTCAAATATTTTAACACTTTCTCGAGAAAAGTTTTTTTGATAATAAGTGAAATCGGTAGATGGCGCTGCGATTTGTTCTGTTGAAAGGCCTACCCACAATACCTTTTCACTTTACGGTTTATCTGTCGGTTTTATCAAAGCTAGTTTTCCCCGAAAATTGTCCGAAGGAGCCATCATACTGAATATGGTAAACCCTGAGTATACAGGAGCAAGAATATTTCAATTTCACCTCGTTTCACTTCATGCCGACCTACACAAACAAATTCTTTGTCAACCTTTGTTTCTATCCAAGCCCTTTTAGAGTTTTGCAACATGTCTCTCCATACTGAATTTTCTCATCATCTCCATAAGCAAAGAGCCGAGCGGAAATCCCACATTAATTCCGTTTAAGTTGCTTACCAGGCACAAACTGCAGCTTGTACGAGTAGATATGTCTGCGTAGACACTGTGCTTGTCCGTCGGTCGGGCGGTTTATGCAACCGTTATTGGTCAATTGTCAATAGTCGCTCAGCGTATCATCAATACTTACTGTAAACTTTGAACGGTCCCCATTGTTGATTCGAACTTAATTGCTCTTGTTGCTGCGGCAGCAGTTGTTGTTGCGGTTGCTGTTGCTGTTGTGTTTGCTTTTGCAAAAGTGATGACTTGTGCTGCAGCTGTTGTTGTTGTTGCTGTGTTTGCTGCATACCGGGCAGCGACAATGTCAATGGTTGCAAGGCACCACCAATATATGACGCTTGTTGTTGTTGCTGCGCCTGGCCATTTGCCAAGCTGCCATAGTTGTTGGCTGCCGTTGACAACTGCTCATTGGCACCACCACCACCACTGAGGGCAGCCGCGCCAGTACCACCACCATTCAGCAATGTTGTTTGATTAGCGGCAGCAATTATTGCTGATGTGGCATTCTGCACGGTTGACGACGATTTCAATTGTAAGCCACCCGTCGCGGTCAGCGTGTATTGACCGACTGCCGCAGCGGCTGCAGCCGCTGCCGCTTGTTGCTGTTGTTTGATTTGCTGCTGTTGTTGTTGCTGTTGTTGCAAATAAACGCTGAGATTGTGATGTGCGGCATTGGTGGGTGTGTTGGCGCCACTCGCACCGCCAGCAACACCATTGCATGTAGCGGCAGCAGCAGCGGCGGCGGCTGCGGCAGCGGTGGCATTGCCCAGCAAACTGTGTTGATGTTGATGTAGCAACAATTGTTGCTGTGGCAATAGGTTGGCTGTCATGGCAGCCATGGCGACGGCGGCTACCTGCTGCTGATGCTGGTGTTGTTGCTGCTGTTGTTGTTGTTGTTGATGGTGATTGTGCGCCTGCTGCTGTTGCACGTGATGCTGATGATGTGGATGGGGCAACAAGTGTGTGGACTGCTGTTGCTGCTGTTGTTGTTGCTGTTGCTGTTGATGCAGCTGTTGCTGGTGTTGTTGGGCCAGTGCAGCTGCAGCAACAGCGGCATTTATGTTGCTGCTATTCACCGCATCGCTGAGCAAACGCGACGTGGATGTCATTAGGCGTTTACGCTTCTTCGGACGTACACCGGATGAGCGCAGCAGTGTCGACGAGCAGTAGCTATCGTAGAAGTAGTCCCTGTGTAAATGAGTGAGAGAGAAAGAGAGAGAGTGGAAAAAGTGAAACATAAGCAATCAAATGACGCACAAAGAGTTTAATTGAAATGTAAACACCGTTAAATGATGGTGATGGTGGAATCGAAAGTGAAAATATATGTATGTATGTATGCAGGGAGTATGATGCCGCAGAAATGACTTTGTAAAGGAGAGTGTTCTTTACTTGGTCTACATTGATGCGAAATTGCCAAAAATTACACCCATGCGTTCTTCTTTTAATCTATTTTGCATACTACATTATATTACTCAAATATTTAGGGAGATTTGGAAGCATAATTCTATGCACATTTTACTTCTGGTATCGCATGTTCCTTAGCCACCCTATACTCTTCTAAATTCTTTTTAGACTAAATATCTTAGAATTTTGGTGAGATATTTTTATGAAACCAGAATTTTGAAAATACGTAGATTATTATGACCTGAACTGGGTACATTATATTTGCTGCGAGGTTTGTAGTTCCACGAAAGGAAACGTCGGAAACCTTATAAAATATATATGGTATGTAAATTATCAGATGAGCTGAGTCGATTTAACCGGTCTGTTGGTATATACGCGAACTAATCTTTCAATTTAGGAGATATCGCTCTGAAAATTTGAAGACGTACTTTTCTCTCCAAGAAGTACTTTTTTGGGGGAACCGCCGATATCGGACCACTATATCATATAGCTGTCACACAAACTGATCAATTAAAACTCGATTCTTGTATGGAACATTTTTAAGTTGACGAGATATCTTCACCAAATTTGGCATGAATTATTGCCGAAGTCAATGGTATAAACTTTAAAGAAATTGTTCAAGTCGGACCAGTATAGCATATAGCTGTCATACAAGTTAAATCTCCGAACTACTAGTAATTGTTTAGATGGAGTCACTATAGCATAGAGCTGTTATATAAACTGACCGATCAAAGTTCTTATAAGAAATTGCTTGTGTTTGTGAAGGTTTTTTCTCCTTTTTAGGAAAATTTTTGGCCGAATGGAACATATTTGCGGTCACCAGTTAATTAAAAATTTAGATTCTTACAATTATTTGGCACACACATCGATTACATCCGAAGTTGTCCTTCTTAATTGCTTATCAGTGCTTTCCAATGCAATAGAAATAGTAAAACCTGGCAAAAAAGCACATACGAGTACATTCTCCCATTTGACAATTAGTGTCTTGCATCGAAATGTAACCATTCTAACCAAAAACGACAAAAACGCAGTAAATCCGAAAGTCAAACACTTAAAAATTGCTGCTTGACAGACACTGATATTGTCAATATTCGCTGATGAATATACCATACATATATAGTTATATACTAACATATATATATATAAAGTGCAAACAGTTTACTCTTTACTCCCAACCACTATTAACTCTTGCAAAAAATTTAGAAAAAATTAAATGCTTCTCAACCCTTTAGCAAACGCTACAACCCACACAAATTTCTCACCAACTGCCTCACTGATTGATAGACACACATAGACACACACAGATACACGTAGAACTAAGCGCCTTCTTCGACCCATTCCAGCACCCTAAAACAAACATCATACAAGTGCTTAAACTCTAGGTCAACATGTTGCACGTTCGCTGCTTAGCCACCAAATCTGAGTCCACTGAACGCCACCGCGTCTCCCACAAGTCAACTCAACTCAATTTGCGGTTGTATGTCTGTATGTATGTAGGCCATTTTGTGTTTTGACCTTTCTGGCTGATTTGCGGTAAACGTTGGTTGGGCGGCTGTATTTTCGGTACATTTTATTGTCACTGTATCGAATACAATCTGTGTGGCATTTGTGGCTTGTGGTAAGTGGTGTGGCAACAATTGATGATTCGACAATTGTGTGTGTGCGTACACGATAAATGTGTGGCAGTTGCGGTTACTTTGTGGTTTAAAATTGTTGTTTATGTAGTTGCATTTAATGATATCTATTCCAGGTGAAATGTATACTGGTAATCATGCCCATATAGGGTGTTTTTAGGAGCTATAGAACGTTTATTACAAAAAATATATACATAAAAATGTTTTTAATTATCAACAAACTAAAAAAATCAAACCTTAATTTAAGAGGTTTCACGGCATTTGCAAAATTTTGTCAATGCGACATATTAATACAACTATCCTATTGATCATGCTGGACATTTTAGAGATTGGTAATGGTAAGTAATTTTAAAGAGCACTTATAAGGCATACAAATATACGCTATTCTCTATTTTCTTAACTCCATTTCATAGATAATGCGAGAAAAAACGAGAGAAAGAAAGCTTGGTGACCATGTCTAAAAGATCTTTTGAGAGATACATGTTTTGAGACATCGATAGTCGAAAAAAAAGATAATAGCCTACTTTTTAAAATTTTGATTTTAAAACCTGAAATTAGTTAACAACAGCTCATTTGCAAGTAATGACTTTAAAAATAAGCCAAACGCCATGAAATTTGTTGTATTAAAGCAAATGACTGCAAGCCCTATAGGGATAACTTTAACATGTGATTAACATTAACTTTGATCAATATATTTTGAAAATATTGGCAGATGTCGCTGAGATTCAAATACTAATAAATACATGTTACGTGGAATTTCTGCCAGTATTTTTGATAAAAGCATTTTAGAAGCATTTTCGCGTTGTAATTTTAACAATTTAGGGTATTGAAATAGTTTGCTTATTCTTTAGTACTAGAAAAAATGCCTTTTGCACTATTTTCAATAACTTAAAATAATTTAATTACAAGACATAGCATTAGTTTTCATAAGTTGAATTTATATAATAGTCGAAGGAGTTTGAACTCAGAAGCTCGCGTTTTTAATCCCTCACCGCTAGTTTTTTTAACTACCAAATAAACGAACTTAAGCTGTCTGTCTATTATTTATTGAAAAATATTATAATTCTGACTTTGCCAGAGCGTTTTTAAAAGCCTATCTATGTGCTAAGGAATGTATGGGTTTTCTGACTATAATATGTGTTAGTCATGTAGTGACGTTTAAAAATTTGCTATTCGTGCAAAATTGTTTGCAAATAAAATATCTAAGTTTCACAACTGTAAAGAATTACATTCTGTAATTGAAGCTAGACGATATTATAAAAATCTGTTGCACCCGTTTCCCATTTTCGTGTACTGTTTAAATTTTTTCGTCCAAGGGTATCCGAAGTTTAATTTGCGAAAAACCCAAAAATTTCCTACTGGGTCACAGACGTCAAGCGTTTGTTAAATATTAACTGTCAGCAGCACGAAAAGCACAACGATAGTGGCAACACTAAGCGACAGCGAGTAAAGTACACACATGTCGGCACTACATACACACATAAACAAGTTGGTCATCATTATCCCGACCGTCAACGGCAAATGTCTACGCCAAACAAACTGGCGACAAGTAAGAGTGCCTGCAACACAACGCCCAACGGTATTATTTTTGCACTCGCCGACAAACGGACACACGATCATTGTTTTTGTAAGCCGAGAAATATACAAATATGCACTCATGTATACATGGGTATGTGTGTGTGTGAACTTGCACGAGTATGCGTGTGACGCACTTGTAGTGTTGACGGAACACTTCAGGCCGCATATCAAAGCGCGAGCGCACAGGAAAGGCCAACGAGTAGTTCTTTTTCCGGTAGTGACAGTGGTTGATTGAAAAAAAGAATAAAACTACCATATACGAATCATCGTATATGTATGTGTGTGTTTGTATGGATCACCCTTTGGAGTGGGAAAAATTGTTGCCAACAAACTGCGACAAATCTCCTACAGTCCTCAGCTCTGTGCCGTCAGTCAGCATTTGCCAGCCGCCAAGCGCCCACAAGCCGCATTAAAACAAAGAAAGGTGGCCGCTGCCTCGCAGCCAACAAAAAGGACATTCGAGTGATGAATTGTTTGTTGTTATTTACAGAAAGTAACCGCACGCAGCGAAGTGCTGAGCAGAGAAAGTACACAAAAATTTAACTGAATAAACGAAATAAATTGTTGAAATGCCAGCACTTTCGTTTGAGGCGCAACAACTTTGCTGCGAATTTAATTTTTGTAGTAAATTTTGCATAAACGAACAAATAAATAAGCAAAAGCGTAAACTTCGGCTGCACCGAAGCTATAATACCCTTCACATATACAAAAATTATTTACAAGAACTTTGTTCGAAAATTTTGTATGGCAGCTATAGGTTAAAGTGACTCGATTATCGAAGATTCGGGAAACTTGGTTTCAACCGATCAGTTTGTATGACAAATATACGCTATAGTAGTCCGTTATAAGCGGTTCCGATAAATAAGCAACTTCTTGGAGAGAAAAGGGCGTGTGCAGAACTTCATATCGAGAACTCTAATACTGAGGGTTTAGTTTGCGTACACATATGTACAATATATAGACAAACCGTCGGACATGGCTAAATCGACTCAACTTGACATGCCCATAATTTATATACACATTTTATAGGGTCTGCGATGTCTCCTTCTGAGTGTTACAAACTTCGTTACAAACTTCGTTACAAACTTAGTCTAGCCTGTTCAGGGTATAAAGAGTGTGATTAAGAGAAAATAGTGGAGGAGAGGAGTAGGAGTGGAAAGAAATGTAAACGGTTTAATGATATGTAAATATTTTAAGTAGTGAGAAATTGGTAAAAGTTGGTGGAGTGTACACGAAGTAGCAATACTACTACTTTTTCTCAATATACCATCTTAGGACTCCATGCTCACGAACAACAATAACGAGTGCTTAATGCACTGGGTAAGTTGGTGTGCGCCACTGGGGTTTAGTGCAGAAAATTGTTAAATGATTTGAATTTGTAGCGCATTTGTTACGTTTACACCAAAAAATAGAAAAATATATATAATATATAAATTACAGTTTTCGGCAAATAACCGAACCGAAATAGAAATTTAATTAAAATGCACTTTGAAGCGTGAATTAGGACATTAGAGTGTTTCTCAACTACGCCAAATATAACCTTACTCTCAAAAGTAAATTTTTTTTGTGCTGCACATATGTATATATTTATATATAATGATATATTTATTTACACTATTATTCAATTGCACACACATGCGCCTTCAGTTGCTTCCAATTTACTCTGCTCTGCCGCTGATGGCTCAAAAGGGGACAGATGTTTACAATTCGTTGGTCATTAATAAATTTTGCTGCCAATACTTGAGCACTGCAATCAATCATTCTCTAGGCAATGCTATTATATTGGCTGAGGGTACACACCTTTCGAGCTTTCTTTATTTGCTGTAGTAATACCGTTATTACTCATTCAACGTAATGTTGAACATGACAAGTACAGACGGGTTTATTTATATACTATGTATACCACGTTTATTTCTTCGACAGTTTCTAAAAATATTAATAACCCACTTGTTTTTACAGGGTGACACGAATAATTATTTATTTTAAAATATTGTAAGACTTTAACTTTATTTAGTTTTTATAAAGAACAAGAAGAATAAATGAATAGTTGTCGGGTAATTTATACCCGAGTAATGACTGAAACAAATTAAAAAAATGTAGTTTCAAGAAAATCGCGTTTATAGATAAACTGATTGAGTGAATTTAAATGAGCGGCTATACTTGAGAAAGCTGTAACTCAAAAACTATTTGAGGTATTGCTTGTAATTTTTAGTATGTTATTTTGAAAGGTATAATCTAACGAAATATGAAAATATTTGTTTTTTAATTTCTCATCAAGTGTGTCGCTTAAAGAAATATTTATAAAATTTTCTAATTCGATTGATAAACTCCTTTTTCTATTTACATTGGTTAAATTGCATACCTATGATTAATTGTTATACTTTCAGGCTGTCCGTAGATAGACATTCTATTGAGTTATTATTTACATTTGTGTTTTAGTTATTCTTTGATTTAACTTAAAATTAATTTTAGCAGTATTAAATGCCATCCAAACGTTTGTAAAAATTTACGAGAAACTTTTTTATCCCAAAAATACACTCAATGACTTAGTATATATTTTGGACAAAAAACTACCGCATTTAAGGCTACATTTTCAGATCGCTCAGAGAGTGATGTTCACGCACATAACAAATTTTGTTAATTTTTGAAAATTGTTTTTAAGGTTATGGATACGTTATATTCAGAATGATTTGTATTAGTTGACTTTTTAACTTACCAGTCATTTCCGGTTTTCGAGACATTTTGTCGTTTTCTACCTATTTGGTGTGGTTTGGGTTCAGCGACCATATTGACATCTGAAATAAAAATGAAAAAATTAAATACTTAGGTATCAACCCACATTCGAAAGGAAACTATAAAGTTTACGCCTAAAACTGAAAACAGATATATGAAGTATCTTATCATAGACGGGGCTCCTTCGATATGACGCCTTGATTGATTAAACAACCTAAAATCGATTTGGGAAGCAAAGGCAGTATATTCTCGTCATTGATCTATAATCGTCTGATGGTTCCAAAAATATGTCTCGGAACATCCTAAAAGTAAGTAATAAAGAGTCCTAGCATAATATAATAGAATCTAATTAAGGTTTGCCAGGAATTCGCTAGGTGCTCTTGACGTGATGGGATCCCTATTCGTAAATATGTATATGTATAGATCCAAGAGCAATATAGGGTAGGCATTAGGTTCACGCAAGACCTCCAACAACCTCTAGGCTTTATAATCTACAGAACCACCTTTTGCTTTAAAGTTTGGTAATCAAAGTGTACCGTTTTATGCTAATTTATACAGTATTTTTAATATACTCATTTAAAATGGAAGACGCCACTCCAGTGCCTATCATTCTCACTCTAATCTGTTGCGCTTTCGTAAATTTTCCACAGATCAGTCACAAGATTGGTTCTTCTGTAACAAACAATGGAACGAAATATCTAATATTCCAAATATAGATTTAATTGGCTTATAATCATTCATTAAACGATTTCGGGCGAGTCCATCAAAACGCTTTCTTTCTTTTTTAATTTTCATAAAAACTCAAATAAAGTCCTAGTATTCTTTGAAATTTATTAAGTACACGTTTCTAAGAAACTCACGCCAACATTTTTATTAATTTATGAAAAAAAAACTAAAAAAAAAAAAATATGGCCAGAAAACAGTTTTTTAATCAATCTCTAGAGATGTTAGAAAAAAATCCAAACGAAATTGAAACAACTTCCGCCACGCAGAACACAGTCATTTGTCTTAATAAAAGTCGCAGCAGATTTTTCAGACCATTTACCATTCGCCACTCGTCGCTCGGCACTCGACTCGGCTAAGTTAGTGAGCTTGACTGTCAAAAATATTCAAAAACATTTCCACACCCATCCATAACCAGTGAAAAGGGTGTGACAACCGCAGAAGCGGCAACAAAAATTTTTTAGTAATATTCACCCGATGTTGTGTACGCCACGCCACGACATGCCACTCATCATAATTCATAGAGTCTGCAGGCCGTTGTTAAAACACCACCCTCTCGCTTTCTTCGTTTTTTTCGACTCGCTGTGCTAGCCGACGCGCCCACTCGTTAAAAAGCGACGGTTGCCTGGTAGCGAATACTAAATCTTACATAGCGTACGCCGTAAATTTTGAATATTTTTTCAATTCTCTTATTACGGCACTTCACATGCGGCTAAATGAGTGGACTCACACCCTACACTCCCTGACAAATGCAACTACAAATTGCCAGTAGGACTGTCAGCTTGACTGGCGGCAAACAGCCACACTCTTGGCGCTACTCAATCACTGCTCTCGCAGACGGAGCGGCTGGGCATATACAGTGGCGGGTGAGCTCTGCCGTCTGTCTGCTTGCTATAATTAAGATTAAGGATAAGAAATAAGAAGGATTTCCGGACGACTTTAAGAGCTAAGCGGCAAAGCGGTTTAAATGTGCCCGAAACGTGGTGTGAGTAGCTCGGTGGGTTGGTATGTGATGATGATGACTTTTACTATATATTTTATTATTGTTGGCATTCCATATAGTTGGTGAGTACTTGGTACTTATGCGGCTGGACTGTGTTAGGATGTGCTATGGCAATTGTAGAGCCTCCCTTCTCCTGTGCTCCACCCGACTCTATCTCTAGCTCTTGGATTCATTGCTTTATCAGTTGACTGCGCGCGTAAATGGAGCGTGTCAACCAGAGTCGTTTAAAGCATTTCATTGTAGAGTGCGGGAATTAAAGACGAAATGAAGCTCAAGTAAAAGAATGCTGCGGTGGCTTAAGCAACAGTTGGCCGATGTGTAAGAGGGGTAGAGTGAGAGCAAGAATTTCTCCGTAGTTAAATAAAGAAAATTTACTTACCATAAAATCACCGAGTTCTCCTTTTTATTTAATTTATTTTGCAGTGGAGTGCATTTTTCCGATTTTCATGTGACTAATTGAATTCCATAAAGCGCTGGAGCAAACGCCCAGCATGCCGACATTTAAGGTGGAGAGTGTCACTGCCAGTGCCAATTTTCATTTTTCTACAGGTGGCTGGCCCGTGTCGTCGGCAACGAGGTGTCGTGAGTATGCATGTCAATTATGATGTGTAGACTGTTGCATATGGTGATATATGCTAGTGAGGAGTATACAGATGACACCAGCTAATATGAACTTCATTGCATATTTTTATAAGAAAAAACACGTATTCTCTCTAGTTTTCTGTGGGTCTTAACATAAATGCAGATAACTCGAAAATCCTCGTCTTAGCATAAGATTAACCTAGCATATACTAGGGTTATTTTGGATATGATGCTCATTGTTGATACTGATACCAAAAATTTTTTAACTCTGGTTAAGATTACAAAACAAATGACATGTGTTAATTGAGGCTGTAACAAGAATTTTTTCAACGAAACCGATGTTTATATTGGAGATGACAGTAGTTTTTCCAGGGTTTGGCTTAGAGCTCCGCTAGAAACTTAAATGCAGATAAATGCAGAGCTCAAAAATATCTCTTTGTTAACAAATAAAACCTTCGAATTGGTTTCGGAGTGTCAACATTCTCTTGTCTTAATCATTAAGATTGTTTTTGTTTTTCTTCTTCTGTGGCCTTACAACCGTGAGTCGATCTGAACCATAAAATATCAACAGTTGCCTCTATTCTTGGCGAGATCACGCCAGTTCTACATCCCAAGTGCAGACAGGTCCTTGTGCCCTTAACCCTTCCATTGGATGCGTGAGCGCCCTTGCTTCCGTTGCCCACTTGTGCGAGGTTCGAAAATCAAAGAAGCTTTACGCTGGAGCATCGTCTTCAATGCATACAACTTGGCCTAACCAACGTATTTGTTGGATTTTTATGCCCTTAATTATATTCATAACGCCGTTGAGGTCACACAGCTCGCGGTTCCATCTACTTCGGTACTTAACGCTCACACGGACGGCTGCAGAGACCTTGCTCAGAACAGTTCTCTCGTACGCTCCAAATACTTTCTCATCTCCGTTCGTCATCGTCCATATTTCTGCGCCATATAATAGGACGGGAATGATAACAGATTTATAGAGCTTATTTTTTGTTTCTCAACAGTCACATAACACTTAGTATTTAATATTAAATTACATTATATGTGGGAAAAGTTCAAATCATTGGGCGTCAACTGCTCCATGTGCTCCTTCATTCACGACAAATAATCAGAATATATACATACACTTACATATATTCACATATGCACACATACTCGGCTCTGCAGTTTTTTATGTAAAAGTGTGCGAGTAAAAGTTGTTTGTGCATCGCTGTTAAGTGCATTAAGATGTTCTCACTGAAATCGCATATTTTCTGCATTGTTGAAAATAAATTCGCACCTCAGCACACAACCGTGCATTCCACTCTCTCCATAAGTACCTGTGTATGTATGTAAGAGTATGTGTACTATGGTGCAACAGCTAGCAGAAGGCAACGCACTTACCGGTCGAACCAGCCGGTTGTGTTTTCCCACATTCACATTAACACTGTGCCTGCATGGGAACTCGTAGATATGTATATAAATATACGGTTACACAATGTCGAGAACAGGTGAAATTATTCATATGCAACTCGATGATTTTTTCAGTAAGAGACCTTGCCTCTCTGAAACAGTCATATTTATTTGCCAGAAAATGAGTGCAGTTGTATATATACAATATATATGCTTGTATGCATGTATAGGCATGCATCTATGTATGTGTATATTTAATAACATTTTTAAACGTTAATGAAATCGTTGGATGCGCACTTATTACATACCTACATATATTTCTATATCCTTCTGTGTTGCGCACACATTCGCCATCACGCAACAACAACAACAACAATAAGGAGTAACAATTTGCCAGTATTGAAATTTCATTAAGTGCACATTATTGCCACGTTTAAATGAAGTGCAACAAAATGGGCTGCGATTGGTTCATATTTTCGCCGTTGGTTGGTTTCTTGTTTAGTACCGGAAGAAGTGAATCACGGTTCATTTATTTTGAACTTATGATACAACAATCTCATTTTCATCGGAAGTAACGATGCGCTTTGAAACATATGGTATTTATATGTAGTCATTTTATATTTATAATGATTGTGTATACTTTGGTTGGAAGTGCATTTAATGAAAACAGTTTTATTTGGAGCGGAGGTTTATTAAAACTCTCAACAATATGCAAAATTATTTTTAAGTGTCTTTGGAAATGTAAAATATTTAAGCCAATTAATTTTTTTGCAATTTCTAACCTCAAACATCTCATGCATCTAAATCTTTATCAGTTTATCGAAATGCTGCTGTTAGAAACTTTACTATGGAAGCATGCTTAATACCTAGAACTCAGATAGCACAAACTAAGGACAAAGAAGTATTCAAGAAAGCTTTGCTCAACATTGTCAATGTTGTTGAGGCAGAAGCATCAAGAAGACAATTCTAACTACATCGATATCGACAATTCACAACACAGAGTAGACATTTCAGATACGTCATATCACTCAGAGAGCGTCTACTTACACTTTCATAAACTCTTTAAGCTCCAGAAGGAGCAAAGAACTCAAATCATCACCGATCGCGAAGAGTCAAGTCCTTAGGATATTAAACTGGTACCTATTCAAATCCAATTACTACACCCCAAATGTACGCATTATACTAAACACCCCTTTTATATGATCTTAAAGCGGAATAGTTCCCTTGCCGGACGCTTATTATTATGTTAGATAACGACGATGACAACTCTTTTACACAGTAAACAGATTTTTGAAACCGCTTAAACAACAACCAAAATCCAAATAAAAATTTAATTATTCGAGTAAAGATTGATAATTCGACGATTTAGCAGTAAATCTACTCCCTTTTTGATGCAGTTAACTTCAGTTTGAAACTCCTTATATGGAGAAAGACCATTGAAGATTGAAATAAAGTTCGCGGCAGTATTGAGTTTCGGTAAATTGCCACTCCAGAATAGAGAAAAGTTATAACTCAAAAATATAAGCCAGCGGCCTGAACATAAAATATACTAATCTTTTAAACTTATCAGTTGATTTAGAAGAATTGAATTCGAGAAGTGTGCAGAAAACCATTTCGAAAATGTAAATCAACTACCATATGTATAATCAGTATTGGTACTCTCACCTAAGCAATACGAAGCCAATATACCAATAGACCATGATGCAATCAGTCTGAAATGAAGCCTAAAATTCTTTACTGCTGTTGCGGCCCAAGACATTTACAAAGTTGAGACATTTTTTTATAAACCTCAATACTCCCACACCATCAAGACAACAAAGTCGTTGTAGAAGCATGGACTTATCGTAAAATTTTCACAGATATACAATATGTCCCATATATATTTATATATCCTTCCAGTAAATTTATAGTGTTTTGTCATCCTTTAAGTTCAATGGTAAATATCTAAGATTATTGACTCAAAAATGAGTTTTTTTCACCGAAGAGATTTACAAAAACACCAGCTTCCGCTTGTCAACAAAAATATATTGAAGAAAATGTCAGAAACAGTAACGTAACGTATAAGGTTTCTCGCTTTGAGTCAAATTGCAATAAGGACACGGAGAGAGCAATGCAAAGCTTGCGTGTCTTAAACTGACTTTGAGCACTATCTAAATATCTAGGACATTTCGAATTTAAACGCAATTTTCGAAAATTCAACAGCAGACAACTGGCCCACACGCTGCCTTGCTCACTACCTTGCTTGCTTGAGTGAGTCGGAAAAGAAAATTCGCGTAGTTGTTAGAGAAACTTGGTGCATCCGCTTTGCGGCCAATACCCCGGAAATGAAAGAGAAATTATCGCTGTTTTAACAGCAACTTGAAAGGATTGAATGAAGGCAAGAACAAGCAGTGGATAATATAAAAATTTAAAATAAAATAAATTTTCAAGCTAACGGATTGTGAAGAAGTCAAAGAACTGCCTGTGGAACAGTCATGCTTACGTATGTGTGTGTATGCGCGGGTGTTGAAAGGAATTTTGAGCGGCAGGCGAATGAAAAAGACCGCAGACGCGCCGCCGACACATCGAAGGTTAAGAAAATGCGCTTGCTGGGGGTTGGCCGCAAAGTGAAGGACGGTTTAGCAAAAAGTCGGAAGAAGTACGCAGTGGCGAAGTAGTAAAATGGCATAGTGCATTCGCCGTCGACGTTGTTGCACAGTCAGTGAAGCCATTAAAAGTGGCAGTTACAAGAAACAGATTAAGCAGTAAAAGTTTTAGACGGCCAATTGGTCGTCTGTTTTCGCCACTAACTGGGTTAGGCTGTTGGAACTTTCGTATTTTGCGAAGCTAAGAAGTTTCAGGGAACTCGTAAATTAAATTGAAATTACTCTTAGAACATATTGCTTACTTGTTTTAGTGTTTTATGTGAAGTATATTACTAATTTGCTAACTAACCTTTTCAGCTGATTATTGTTCTTTCGGGCGCTTTGAACGAGGTTCACCAGCTACTGTCCACTCGGATGACGATCGTTTTTATTCTGTACAAAAATACCGTTTGTTGCGTTTAAACATGACCACACACTGCTCAGAAGCATCAACACGTTGTTGGTCAATAGTCAGCAAACGCGGCACCTACTTTAAACAGAGCTTTGTCATGGACAAATGCTCATACGATATAAAGCCAACATATTCTTTTGAAAACCCTTGCGATGTCAGCAATATCACGCAACTTCACTTTCCGATCATTGAAAAAGATTTTGTTTGGTTTTGTTTAAAATGTTTTTTGGTGTTACAGCCTCATTTGGACGATTCTTGGTGTCTCTACGAACACGTTTGAAGTCAGCAAACCAACGTGTTATTATGGTTTCAGATGCCCCAGAAGAAGCTAGTTATATCACGAAATAATTATCGAGATTTTGACGACTTCCAAATAAAGCAATGATTTGAGTAATCGGTTACTCAATTAAAGCAAACTGATATAACCATTGTTAATTTTATGTGATGATTGCTAATATTTTGGCTTACAACGTTTACTTTGGGAATGAAAAATGAAGCTAGGACAGATAATTTCGCAGCTTAAACTTTAAAAGAACACAAAAACAAAAAAAATAAGACCTAAGGGAAATTAAGCCTAGAACAGACAAACCAGAGTAGATAACTTATTTTGTCTATCACGAAATTTATTTTAAACTATTTACATACAAATATATAATGGATTTATATACAAATATATAAATAATCAGGATGACGAGACGAGTTGAATTCTGAAAGACTGCCTGTCCGTCCGTCTCTCCGTCTATATGTGCAAGCTGTAACTTAAATAAAACCTGAGATATAGTAATGAAAGTTGGTCTACCTGGTTCTTGGCGAAAAAGTGAGGGCAAGTTCGTAGATGGGCGTAGCGCACCACTACCACGCCCACATAATGCCCTTAATCGAAAATTTATAAATTGGCATAACTAAACCGGAAATTAAGATACAAAACTGTTATTTGGTACAAGAAATCGTAAGTTTCTAGCAGCATACCGATCTAATACCTTTATCTCTTTGTTTCACCTACGTCAATATTTCCATTTATTGGATCCACATTGGTTACTTGAACTATCCATTAGGACTGAGCGAGAGACTCTGAACCTCGTCATCAACCAATATGCAATTGACTAAATATTGAATTATCGAAGTTTCTCGGTCTCGGATAGATCTAAATATAATATACTTGTAGAGTAATATAAAGGACTCATAGTCATAGGCAACTTCGATGTTCTGAATCTTAAAATTTGGATTCAATATTTCGTAACTTTGCTTTGTCCCCTTTCTGAGTTTTCAATATTTACAAATGTCTATTAATATGCATATCACTCACCCAAAGTTTGACTCAGCACAGTGCGTCCATCTTCGCCGTGACAAGCATTGCGTGCATCGAAAGGATTTGTGAACTGAACGAAAGCGTAACCCTTATGCATTGATATGCCTGAAAGCAGACAATGAAAATATTAAAATTAGAAAAGTTGCATTACGAAAATTTGTAATTAAATGTGCTATTTACTCTATTGCTCTGCCTACACTTACCCGCCAACCGACCATAAATCTGGAACATACGTTCCACATCCGTTTTCGAGCACTGGAACGTATTCAAATTGCCCACAAAGATGCGCGAGTTCACCGCCTGCGGATCCTGCGAGTTCGTCTGATTAGACAGCTTTGACAGTTTCATTGTGTCGCCGACGGTGAGAAAATGTGACGACGTCGTGTGATGTTTGTAGAAGCCGCTGGTGGGACTGCTGGCGGCGCTGTTGCTGCTGCTTAAGCTGTGGTTCGCTGTCAGAGCGGCTGATTTGCTCGCGTATGCCGACGTTTCTGCGTCACAGTGGCCGGTGGTGTAGCTGTGCGCGCCGCTGTGCTGGTGTGGTGAGTAGAGGTGGGTCGCCGGCGATGGCAGGAGCACAACCTTCTGCTGCGTATGCGGCTGCTGCTGCAACTGGTGCGGATGGTGGTTGTGCTCGGGGCACGTGGGCGCAAAATATAAAAACGCAATGATGGAAACTTAATGGTAAACCAGGCGAACGAAAAACGATGAAATTGTTGGAATTTCAAGTGTGCACCACACGAGCGCGCGTATGTATCTGTGTGACTTTGTAAGTATGGGTGTCCTTACGAAATTCCAATGTGCTGATGGATTTATTTCTGGAATTTCAACTAAAATATTTTTTGCTCGTGTTTTTTGCGGGAGACGAGCACTGGGCACCGGAGAACACGAAAAGGCTGCAGGATTACTGCTATAAAGCGCCTTAGCCCGTATAGCCTAGGGCAAAACTGGCGCGCGTGTTATGTGGCTTTGCGTTCGTTTGTGTGTGTTATTTTTGGCCGAAGTTGTTTATGCTTTGTCGACTTTCTGCTCAAACGCCTGGGATTAGGCTTGAGTACGTGCTTTTGCGCTTATTTGTTTGCGTAAATGATTTGCTGCCTTCGATCTCGATTTTTGTGCTTTATTGTTGTTTTTGTTATTTTTTTTTTCTTTTGCAGGATATGCTCTCGCTGTAGCTGATTGGGCGGGTTACCTCATCACTTGCGCGCTCGGCATTGTCCGGCAGTAGAAACGCACAACCAAATGAATTGTTGTTGCTGTTTTTGTTGGTTACGTCGGCGACTTAACGATGCTGATTGTTGTTGTTTTCGTTGTTGTTGCTGATGGCGTAACCGCAGTTATTGATAACAATCGGCGCACAAAAACCGTACACAATGGATTAAAAAATCTGCAAGAAAAAAGATTACGTGAAAAGTGAGCGAGAGAGGCTTATGAGTCGATCAAAACACAAAAAAAAAATCAGTTAAATTGAGAATATGGATAAAAATGAACTGACAAGAAGATGTAAATAAGTCCATCATATAACAACAAGTTGTATTGTTTTGTATGTGCGGGAGTGTGGTTGAGTGTGTATCGGTGCGCGGATTAACGTTGGCATTGTGCTGTATGTATATATAGGTCTTTGTATATATGCGTTTGTGTCTATATCCATGTAAGTGTGTAACCACCGCCTTCTCCACACTCAAATTTACATCCGCGTGCATTTGCTCGTTTATGCGCCTAAAAGCACACCACACCCACATAGAGCGCGCATTTATATTCTCGCGCCGACTTGTCGGTTATAATTGATTTTTCGTATTAAAATACGATTTTCAGTATTAAAAATATACAACACAAAATGCATGGAAATTCAATTAATTTAAGTAGCTTAAATTTTGATTGATTGTTTTTTATTAAAAGTGGATTTTGCGGTTATGCGAAAGTGCGCTAAAGAACTTGAGCAAGAATAAAAAATGAATTAAAAAGGCAATTGTGAGTTTACAATTCAGTGGATTTTAACTTTTTTATGGAAGAGTAAGAGCGAATTATGTGCCAATCCGAAGCTTTAAGTAATGAAGTAACATCTGAAGGCGAGATTCGCTTATTTTTGTGTCAGAAAAAAATTATAATTGATATTTAGAATTTCCTACTATGTCTTTCATCGCTACTCACTCAAACCACATGTCAAAGAGAAGAAAATCACACATAATTGTTAAGAATGAGTTCTTAATAAAGCCACATGAAGTTCCAATGAGTTTCGTAACTTTATAGCTTTCACAAACACTTAAAAGGTTTTATTCGACACTTCACTGAATAATTCTGACATCTTAAGGGTCTAGGTTGGAAATTCGTTCATTTCCGAAACTTGGACAGCTAAAAACGCCAGTCCATTATGATACCTAAATACACCTAAGTATTGATCGAAATTACGCTCAAATATTTCAAAACCGCTTTGAGGCTAACACAGACTTGTTGAGACGCCTAATATCAATGCGGCTATTTCACCTGGCTTGAGATGTTTCATCCGCAGTCTTGCAAAATGGAGAAAAAAGTGCTTGAATTAAATTGCTTGAAGAAATTTTTAATAATATTGTGCATGCTTTAAGTTACCGAAATTAATTTAGGACCAGCCTGACGTATGGACTCTGCATAAGACTGTGCTGGAGGCTGCAAAATCATTAAAATGTACGGATGAATTTTTATGCCATCACTGTTGGTCTTTTTTTTTGGAAGATCTTGTGAAGTACATAAGTGATAAGAAGAAAGTACCAGAGAAATAGAGAGAGATTAGAAAAGTTACTGGAAACTCTATGTCAGCAATCTCAGTGCAAACTTAGTATGGAACTCATCTTAGATATAAAAAGAGTATAAAATACATTGGTATTATATTGGACAAGTAATGATCCGGACATATTTTCAATCCAATTATAGTATAAATGTATTTGGCATCTTTCTTATTATAGCCAGAACAATTTGATATTAGACTGGTGTACTTGTATGCACCAGGGTCTCCCAATATGTCTAGTAATGAGTTTGATAAATGAGGCACATTCGAAGTCATCTGTCATAACGAAGAATATATCAGCTATATTTCATAGTCTGCTGGGTAGATGGGAACTGGGGTAGATGTGAACTGCCCCAACGGGACTAAAGGGTCTTCACATTATAAGTGCCCATATAACAGATGATGCAATGGAATTATCATTTAATTTTCTTGCGAAGTATTCAGATTTCTTAGATTTTATCATAAATTTTACTTACCAAAAGGTAAACCAGTTATGAATATATGAAATAATTTTTATATAGAACAGTAGATAACTATGCTTATGGTCGAAAATAATATCAAAAATATATTTTGTTCGTTAAAATCAAAAATTTCAAATAAACTTCAAAGCCATTGTCCTAATTGGCCATGTACATACATACATATTTAGCACAAATATATAAAATATTCATTTTATGTTTTAATAATGTCATCCATTATTTGACAGTCGTCATCTCGGGCAACTCTTATCTTAAACCGACTACTTTTCCAGCAATCCTATTGAAAGCATTACAAACCTGCCACTCCTCGCCAGCCGTTACTCAACCCTTCGGCCGCCTACAACAACAGGCTTTGTAATGAAAATGGAAATCTAAATAAAGCAAAGACAGCAAAGACACAATAAAGCATTCATTACAAGGACAATGGGACAAACAACTCACTGTCACTCAGTCAACCATGGAGCCTGGCAACCAAGCAGCTAAGGCCCGCACACGTCTATTGAGGTAGAGCGAGCGACGATGGTGTCATTGAAGAATAGAAAATGTTTTTGCATAAAGTTGAGAATGCGGGCGGCAAGCTGAAGGCGAGGCTGTCGGTTGGTCCGTTGAGTTGTGTTGTAGATGTGCATTTGTGTTTATGTGCACGGTGCATAATCACTAAAGCATTGAGCCATTCACTCACTCATTTATTCATTCACTCATTCATTCATTTCATTCATACGCGCTTACACTCTTCAGTCACTCGCTTCTGCCGCTTTTATTTGCTTATTCAGGCGCGTTTATTGTCATAAATATTTTCATTTCCGAAACAACGCGCAAACAAAAGCAACTTTGCCGCTTCGCTTCGACAGCACACATACAGTTGTTTGAAGAATAAGCACTTTTACATACTTGTATATATATATATATGTATATTTATGTGTAGATATATGCATAGTGACACCATATTATAGTTCAGTATTTACAAATACTTATAATATATATTTATATATATTAGGGTGGGTTAAAATACTTTTAATTATTTATCCCGAAATACTGTAAAAATATCGTTCGATATTACAAAAGGCAAGGACATTATATTCACGGCATTTAGGAAAAAAAATAAAAAATGTTAATTTTTACCCACCCTAATATATATTCATATATTAAATATGTAAAGCGAACTTGATTTCTTTATAATTCACTTGATTTACGTGCCTGTTATGAAAACAATTTTCATTTTTTTATTTATATTCTTTTTACTCCAGAAATTGCCATCAGCACGTCATTTAAATGGCACATGTGTTGCATGCAACATGCATTTCCTTCACTTTACACACACTCAAACATCACTTACACATCCCTTTCGTCAATTCATTTGTTTAATAGTATGCCATTTTTCACTAACGCTCACATAAACTATGTGAGCTATTCATTTCATGCTTGTTAGTGTCGCTTATCTGACAGTTATTTATTTAATTGTCAGTCATAGAGCCATGACGTTATTGATATGCTGGTTAAATAGTTGACAAAGTCACTCAAATTGAGACCGAATCATTTTCTTCGAAGTTTTAATACAATGTGGACTTTTAACGGGTTTTTAGGATACACTAAAGATTTTTAGAATTTGGTTATATTAGAATGTTACTACTAATTTCAGTTTGTCAAAATATTTTATTGAATAATTTTTGGTTAGTTAGTTTGGGTAAGTACTAACAAAAATGATTTCAGACTCCAAATATTTAGCATACATGGCGGATTACAGCTTTATTTATGGGTTTATAAACACTCATGAATTGCAAAATATTTTTTTGAGAAATATTCTCCGAAAATTTTAAATTAAGCTGGCTAATCAGGGTATCAGGGTATTTGAAAGAACTTATTAACATAGTGTCATCAGTTGTCAAAATTTTATACAAGTTTTTCTCGAAACGCTATTATCCGAGTCGGTGAGGAAACTTTTTCCGCATAAGCTAGACCTACCAACTTGAAATTTTTACACGACTTTCTTAGATATATATTGTCAGATAATAATAAAAATAATAAGATTTTCGACGAAGTTTCCAAAGTGTAAATTTTTTCACAAAAAAAAAAAAATTCTTTGAGAAGCTGACATTTTGTTAAAAATCAAAATTTTGACCTGTCCTCTGTTATTATTCTGTTATCTATAATAATATTTTTTTTTTTTGGATTTGAGATAATTTTAAGCAAAAAATCATCCTCACCGGCTGACACCGTTTTTTGGTCCTGAAGATCGGGTACAGGATCAAGGGAATCCAAAGTTTAAACCACTGTTAGGTCAGTCTAGAACTTTAATAGGTTTCAAATGTATTCTCAACGCTAAAAATATTTTTAGAAACTATTAATACGCACACAAGAACTTTAAAAATATCCACTTTCGGAAAAATTATTTGTAAACGATTCAATACTTAACTTCTTTTAGCACTGTCTGCTCTTGCAGCTTATTTAGTTCATATTAGTATTACTAATTTTTTCCATTAATATTTTATTGTCAAATAACACCAGCTCCCTACAATGCCATTTTAAGTCGCATAGCTACTTTTCAACCATTTCGCGTGCATTTTTCATAGACAATGGCGCACGTACACACAAAATATCCTTTTAGTAATATTTTTACGATAAATATTACAAGTACTGTTGTCGCGACAGACTGCAAGGCATCCCATAAAATTAAAAAAAAAAAAAATACAATAAAAATTTAGTTTTGCATATGTAGGGGGGAAGAGATTAAAGACCCTGTAGAAAAATGTACCCCAAAATATGAATTATTGAAGAAAAAATAGAAATATAACAATAATAAATTTTTATCACTAAAAATAGTCAAATAATTGCATAGATCAACACAAAAAAAAAAAAAATATAACGTATTTGACTATATAAGGACGAGGTCGCTGAAGCGCTGGAACTACGATGCTGGGGAACTCAAGCAAGGGACAGAAATAATTGGATAACTAAATTGCAGTGAGCGTAGACTCACACCAGGGTGTGGAGCTGATGATGACGATGATGAATATACAAAATATTCAAAAACAATAAGGAACCAAACAATTGAAAGAATTATTAGAAAATTAAAATTTTTAATAAAAGCTAGAAAACACGTTAACTTCGGCTATACCGCAGCTATAATTCCATTCACAGGTGTCT